GCCCATATAAAACAGGATAAAAGCAATAAAAACATTAATAACAATTAATCACAACAACAATGATACTCAATTGAAAGCAGGATGGTCCCCGAATATATGCAATGGTGGTAAATAGACAGTTCTCTGGGGATGATGTTGTCCTATAGCTGATCCCAAGCAAGTAAGTCCGGTGATATCAGTCGTGCAAATTTGTGGCAGATCTTCCCGGGCCACCCTTAACCCCGAATTTGTCCACATTATTGGTGGTGGTGGTAGTGATGGCCCCTATGTGAAAGCCTGGCGGAAGAGCTCCGTCTTGCAGGCCCTGCGGAACTGCATAAGGTCCCGCAGGGCCCTAATCTCCTCCGGGAGCGCGTTCCACCAGGTAGGGGCCACCACCGAAAAGGACCTGGCCCTAGTCGCAGTGAGCCTTGCCTCCCGGGGGCCTGGAACCACCAGGCGATGTTGTGCCCTGGACACCAGGCGATGTTGTGCTCTTGGGGGTATATGTGGGGAAAGGCAATCCTTCAGGTAAGTTAGACCCTGGCCATATAGGGCTTTAAAGGTAAGTACCAGCACTTTGAAATGGATTCGGTATGCTATTGGCAGCCAGTGCAGTGCTTTCAGCCCTGGCTGGATGTGCTCCCACTTCGGGAGACCCATCATCAGCCTGGCCGCCGCATTCTGCACTAGCTGCAGCTTCCGGATCTGCACCAAAGGCAGCCTCATGTAGAGAGTGTTACAGTAGTTTAACCTCGAGGTGACCGTCGCATGGATCACTGTAGCCAGGTCATAGCGACCGAGGAAGGGAACCAACTGCCGAATCAGCCTAAGATGATAAAATGCCGATCTGGCAGTGGCTGCCCCCTGGGCCTCCATAGTTAAGGAGGGATCCAGGAGTACTCCCAAACTCCTAACCTCCGATGCTGGCACCAACGGCACCCCATCGAAGGTCGGGAGAGGGAGCCCCAACCCCGGTCCACTCCAACTCAGGCACAGGACCTCCGTCTTCACTGGGTTTAGTTTCAGCCAGCTCAGCCTGAGCCAACCAGCCACGGCCTGTAGTGCCCGGTTCAGATCTTCTGGGCTGGAGTCCGACCGGCCGCTCAACATCAGATAGAGCTGGGTGTCATCAGCCTATTGATGACACCCTAGCCCAAACCTCTGGGCGATCTGGGCAAGGGGGCGCATATAGATGTTAAACAACATCAGGGAAAGCACCGCCCCCTGTGGTACACCGCATTCAAGCGGGTGTCTTCGGGACTGTTGTTCTCCTAGCGCCACCCTTTGTCCCCAACCCTGGAGAAAAGAGGTGAGCCATTGAAGGGCGAGCCCCCGTATCCCCATGTCAGCGAGGCGATAGGTCAGCAGCTGGTGGTCAACCATGTCAAACACAGCCAACAGACCTAACAAGAGCAATACTGCCACACCGCCTCAATCCAGATGCCTCCGGAGGTCGTCAGTAAGGGTGGCCAGCGCTGTCTCCGTCCATTGTCCCGGGCGGAAGCCGGACTGGAAGGGATCTAAGGCAGAAGCGTCATCCAGAAAGCCCTGTAGCTGTGTCGCCACTGCACATTTGCATATTTTTCAATAAAAACGTGTGTGTCCATGTCTTGTGGTTCTCAAACACGTGGTGTTTATTCTATGTGGCTCTTACATTAAGCAAGTTTGGCCACCCCCTGCTCTGTGGCATTATCCACCCCCCCACTGAAGTCCCTCCCCTCCCAAACCCCACCCTCCTCAGGCTCCACCCCCAACATCTCCAGGTATTTCCCAGCCTGGAGCCGGCAGCCCTACACTGAGAAGGCCCAGGTAGCTTATACCCAGAACTGTGCCAAAAGCAAAAGAAGTGGTCCCCTGCATTTAAACGGGCCGCACATTAAGAACCAGAGTAGAGAAGGGATCGTCAGATTTGCTACAGGAAAGAGAATGAAAAAAGGCTGAAGAGGCTGTGTTGATCAAATAGAAACAAAAAGAAAGAACAATGGAGAGAACGGCAGCACTGCTGAAGCGCAAAAGAGATGCCTTGACACAATCAAACACCTTCAGAGGGCCAAACACAAACATTTTGGTATCGGCAGTTTGATAGACACGTGGGGGTAACGTTGCTCAGACAAACGCTTCCAATAGGAAAAGGTTATCATTATGAAAGGCCACTGGTCCAACACTTTACAAATTAGCACCAATTTCAAAGTTCTACCAGGACACGGCGTATGTCTTTTTAAATACTACAACCTAACAACCCAAGGGCCTGAGGTCTGTGCTGTTAACTATCAATCTTTAAAATTTCAGAAAGAGAGAAGAAACCAGCATGTTCCAGACCCTGAGGGCTTAGGGAGCCCTGGAGGGAAAGAACCGGGAGGGTCCAAATTAGTCCCCCCACCATGACTCCTTGCGGGCACCTCAGTGTATTGTGATCTAACAGGGAAGGATGCCCCCCCCCCAAGTGGATTTTTAAAAAGCTACACAGGACGAGACTTCTGGAAATGCCAAGTCTGCAGAAAACAATAGATGTTCTTTTTTAAAAAAACTGCAAAGGCGAACAACAACATACACAGGACCCGCCCCAGCTTATTTTGCACCCTAGGCGAGGATCCCTTCTGGCGCCCCCCCCCCCGTGCGCCCACCAATTTTCAAAAATAAATGCATTTTAGGAAGAATGAAAAACACAAATAATCAAGAAACTCCCAGAGTACGGGGCCAGGTGCAGTTTGGCGCCCCTAAGGGCCCTCCCGCTCTAGGCGATTGCCTAGTTCGCCTAGTGAGTGAGCCGGCCCTGAACATACACCACCCCAGAACAGGACCGCAGAGTTCCTTGATGGCCACGATCTCCCATGAACACTGCAGGAGATCCCAGGCACCATTTTGCATCGCCCAGGCAATCCGGCACCACGAGATCTCAGACCTGAGTTGCCCTTCAGAGAATCGGACACTGAGTTCAACACCCTTTCCAAAGCCTGAGACCTACCAGGCACTCAATGCCAGGGAGAAGACATTAAAACCTAAAACTGATTCATGGAAGCAAAACACAAGACAGAGTTCTCCATGTTGTTCTGTGGCCTCTTCCAGGAGGAGGAAGAAGAAGAGGAGGAGATGGTGAGTGAGTGGGAAAGTGGGAGCCACAGCCAGCAAGGGTGGAAAGCAGGGGCAGAATCAGCAAAGGAGGTGTAGCTGAAGGCTAGGGGGTATGAGATTTCCCTCTCCCATGCGTCCTTACAGATCCCCCTTGTGTGTTTGGGGGGAGGGCACATTTATTTATTTCATTTACTTAATTTTACACCCTGTCTTCCCTCCCAAAGTGACTTACATCACTCTCCTGTCCTCCACCTTACCCTTACAATAACCCTGTGCAGAACTGCATTTTTGCCTTGGAGGCTTGCAATGAGCAAAACCTCCACTGTGCGTTTTAAAGGGGTTCCCCCCCTCCTTTCCTCTGGGTAGAGAACAGGCAGGAGAAGGAGAGAAGTCTTCACAATTGCTTTCCAGATGCACTTCAGCCCATCTTCATATAAATGCTAATAGATCTGGCAGGAGAGATAATGGGTAGGTCAAGATCTCATCCCTTCCCCAAGCAGGGAACAGAGGTTTGGAGGTGTTACATGCGAGAGAGTCTTCAGGAAGGAGATACCTGGAGATTTCCAGGAAAAGCCTCTTTGACCTGGCCTGAGCCGGTCAGGGGGTGGGGAAAAGAGAGGTGATAAAAACTCCTTGCAGCAGAGTGGGGATTCAAACTTGGGTCTCCCAGATCCTAGTCTGACACTCCAACCACTACACCTCCCACCCACACACCAATTTTGGCACAGAAAATAACCAAGGGTGTGGAAGAATAGTTGAGGCACGAGAAGCAAGGGGTGACTACCACCAGGCAGCTGCTTAGGCCTCGTTTCAGTCAAGGGTGAAGGGTTTAAGCTCCAGGCTGGATTTTGAAGATCTGGAAGAAGAAAGAGGTGGCACCACAGTGATGCCCCGGCAGGGAGTTCCTGACATACAAGGCAGGAAGAGACATTGGTACCCTTTAGCTGAGCACAGGTCATGGGACAATATTGGACAATGAGGATGCAAGGCTGTGGCAGAGCAAAACCACTGGGACCTGGGAAAGTGAATGACGAGGAGGGTGGGGAAAGAGCTGGGAAACTGTGAAGGGACTAGAAGAGACATGTGGAATCAAGAGTGGCGCCCAAGGTGAGTGGTTGTCCGATTCCCCACGCATTCAAATAAACCCACGTTTGCAGAACAAAGTCAAATTTATTAATAAGCAATGGTTAGATCAGGAACACAAGCATTGTTAAGAATAACTACAGACCTCAAAGGGGAACATAATAAAGGAACTTGAACCAGGTTAGGACCAATGAGCCCAATTCCCGCTGGCGGGAATGTAGATGAAATGAGCGCCCAATTCCTTGGGAACACCATGGTTCTACAACATAAACACAAGTACAGTTCTCAGGCTTTGGACACATAACAAGCAAAGCAACGCCATAACTCCATCCCACCTCCAGCTGCATGACCTTGAGCAGTTCCGCAGAAGTAGCAAGCCAAAGAAAGTAAACACCTACACAGGAAGGCACAGGGGGGGGAAGGGACAGTGCACAATCCAACGGACACAATGTAACACAACACCCTATGGCAGCTTGCTGACAGTGGTTGAGTCTGGCTCTGAGTACTCATATATCTGAACAGAGGGAAGTTCTTTAGAAGCCTCCAGAGTTGAGTTTTCGCTAAAAGGCACACTTTGTGATCTCATGGTTGCTATCCTGCAATGACAACATTCAGCTTGCTCTTATGAAACTGCAGGACCTCTGGTTGACTTTTTTAAAAAAAACTAAAATGCAGGCGTGCAGGGACCTGAGAATTTGGTCACAGCCTCACCTTTTACACACACACACACACACACACACAAGCACACTGTGCTCACCAGCTCCATGGGGGGGGGGGAATGCACCAACAGGGCACATAAAACTCACTCATGGGGAGCGAGCTGCACATGAGTTGTCTGTATGGGTACAAAAATCCACACTTACCATTATGTTTAGGCCCTGGTTGGTTGGCCCTTGTGCGACAATATATTCTATGCCTGTCTCATAAATGTCCATCGGCCTCCTGTATTTGAAGACGGTCCCTGCAATGTTGAAGTTTTTGGGGCTATCTACTCTGTAATTCCCATTGAAGAAATAATAGCCAGCTTCATCGGCAACAGCTGTAAATGAATAAGCAGAGAGAGAAGGAAAATGGTCCTCTCAAAGATCATGGACTGGGAAGTGAAAGGAAAGCACCCGGCGAACCTGCTGAAGGGCACCCTCGCTGCTGCTACACACTGAAATATCGTAGGCAGGAGGGGCCCCCCAAAAGGAATCCCATTCCTTTCCCCTCTGGCCATCACTTCCCCTCCTTTTGCTTCAGTCCCACTTGACTGTCCTTCCTCTGCTCCATCTTCACTCTGCCCCCCCCCCCCCCCCCGAGCCCCTCCCCCCCCTGCCACCTGGCTGCTCCGCCGCCTGTTCCCTGCTTCCTCACCCTGCCTTGGGCTGGCTCTCCTCCTCCTTGCAGCCCCAATCATTTCTCCTCCCCTGCTTCCTCACTCAACCCCTGCTTCCCTCCTTCCCCACTTGCTTCCTCCCGTTGCAAAGCACCATTGTCGGGCAGGCAACCAGAAATACTACCCGAAGTTCTCCTCCCCCAATGAGATAGACACATGTGCAGATGTCACTTTCACTCGGGTGAGATGTATGTTTTGGTTTGGTTTCTTAGCCTTCCCATTTTTAAGTTTTCATATTTTTCTGGAAACCTGAGGTTTGCCGATACATATACCTTACCTTAACACTGAGTCCTCCCTCTTTATGGATTTATTTATTTACTTACTTGATTTAAATTAATTACAAAAAATTACAAAAATAATCGACCTGGGAGAGGCATAGCTGGCTATCAACATATGATTACCTGCCCGTCACCTACAGCCCATGAGTCAATAGGGTGCGGCCGTGACTCAGTAGGAGAACCTCTGCTTGGCATGCAGAAGGTCCCGGGTCCAGTCCAGTGTCCCCTCTAAGCTGAGTTAGTGTGAGCTAGCTCACAGTTTTTTAGCCTCCGGCTCACACATTTTTGTCTTAGCTCAGGAAGGATGGCTCCAGAGCAGAGTTCCCTCTAAGCTGAGTTAGCGTGAGCGAGCTCACTGTTTTTTACCCTCCGGCTCACACATTTTTGTCTTAGCCCAGGAAGGATGGGCTCCAGTCCAGAGCAAACTAATTGATGCAGTAGCCAAATCACCTGCCTGCTCACAACTTCAATGCTGGTAGCTCGCAAAGTAGAATTTTTGCTCACAGGGCTCCACAACTTAGAGGGAGCATTGCTCCAGAGCAAACTCATTTATGCAGTAGCCAAATCGCTCGCTCACAACTTCAATGCCAGGAGCTCACAGAGTAGAACTTTTGCTCACAAGACTCCACAGCTAAGAGGAAACACTGGTCCAGTCCCCGTCATCTCCCATTCAAAAGGACCAGGCAGAAGGTGATGGGAAAGATCCTTCCCTGCCTGAGACCCTGGAGAGCCACTGCCAGCCTGAGCAGACAATACTGTCCTTGATGGACGGAGGGGGGGTCTGATTCAGTAGAAGGCAGTTCCCCTCCCCACAGTGGGGAGAAACCTGTGTTATATTCAGGGAAAGTTTGAGGAGATTCTGTCTTCTCAGAACAGGGCTTAGCAAGGGCGAGCTGTCAAGCCCTGAGGGAACAGAAAGAAAAACCTCCCAGGGAACTCGGAAGAGTGGTCTGCGACTGCAACAAGAGGAGGCAAGGACAGGCAAGGACGAGGGCTGGCTATGGCCTGGGAAGTGGTACAGGGAGCAAGCCGGGGGGGGGGGCAGAGGCAGAGAAGCTGATGGGGAAAGGACCAAGCAGGCAGGGGCCTGAGGAGCTGAGGCCTTGCGGAAGGAGCGGGAGAGGAAACCGGGGAAGGACAGGCCACTGAAACAGAAGACTTGGGGGGGGGGAAGCCTCCCACAGGGCCCAGGGCTAAGAGGGCCTTTAGCTGTTGGCAGGGAAGGGGCACATCCTTCTGGATGCTGGGAGAGTTTGGGCCAGGTAGCCGAGGGGACTGGGAAGTGGAAGAGGCAGTGGCAAGACCGAATTTCACACCCTGGATTGGAGTGAATACGTTATAGGTAAAGGTTCCCCTTGCTCGAAAGCCCGTCGAATCCGACTCTAGGGTTGCGGTGCTCATCTCCGTTTCAAAGCCGAGGAGCCAGCGCTGTCCGAAGATGTTTCCGTGGTCATGTGGCCGGCATGACTAAACACCGAGGCGCACGGAACGCTGTTACCTTCCCACCGAAGTGGTACCTATTTATCTACTTGCAATTTCTTGCTTTCGAACTGCTAGGTCGGCAGGAGCTGGGACTAGAGACGGGAGCTCACTCCGTCATGCGGCACAGTCGGGTCTCGAACCGCTGAACTACCGACCTTCCACAGCCTGCAGTTCAGCGTCTTAACCGCTTGAGCCACCCTTTGAATACGTTATACAGCAAGCACATTTTTGAGGCGCATTCACATTGGTCCCCCCACAGGCATCATACACACCCAAAACATCCGCTGATTTTTTCCGTTCCACTATTTGGATGTCCCTTGCTCCGGTAGGAATGTGAGTCACCAGAGAGTAGCCTGCAAAAAACTGCATTCGTGAATGAAATGGCAGCGACAACAGCAGCCCAATCCCAGCATCCCTGGGCCAGAAGGTGCTCTGGAGCCTGACGTTTTGGCCAGAAACAATTCTATAAATATGGGGGGGGCCCCCACGGGGGAGATGTGTTTCTTTTAGAGGTGGCAACCAGTTCAGACATTTTGCATTGATTAATCTTCTTCTCATGGCCAAGGAGGGCGATGGGAATGCAAATTTGTTTCCATTCAAATGCGGAGTAAATTCCAGGTTTCTAGCTTAAGTAGCTCCAGGACACCAGATCCAGGTACTGTGCAGCAGGATTGCTTGCTCTGAGTTGGGAAACTCCTGGAGATTTGGGGGGTGGGGTCTGGGAAGGGTGGGGTCTGGGAAGGGTGGGGTCCCTCAGAGCTCTAGAATGCCATAGTGTCCAATCTCCAAAGCAGCCATTTTCTCCAGGGCAACTAATCTCTGTAGTCTGGAGATCAACTGTAATTCTGGGAGATCTCCAGGCCCCACATGGAGGTTGGCAACACTGTCCTGTTCTCCAGAGGGCACATGCACACCAGAAGCCCAGAGCATCAGGGCTTTATGTGTTGCCTCCTACCTGGATGCCATGTCTGTGTCTGACATACAGAATGCTGGACACCAGGAGGGATGCCAGGTACATATTCAGCTTCGGCACCAGCTTTCGCCCATGAATGTATCTTCCAGCAGCCATTCCCAGAACATGGACAAAAAGGAGTCACCTGAAGTCTTACCAAGGTGTGAATTTCCCTTTCTGTAACTCCCGGTCACATGGGTACAGCTGCTCCCGTTCCCTTGGCAGACACCACATTTATCCAGCGTGTGGGTAGAGAACAGGATTCCGTCACACCCAATGGGCTACAAAACAGTGTGAATAGAGTATTGAGGGCCAGGCAAAGGAGGCAGCCGTGACAATTTCAAAAATTCGACTTTCAATAAGGTTGCTATAATGTTTAACAACCTCACATTTTCCAGACACGCAAACCCCTCGGAAATCAGAGTATTTACAAGACGTCCCGTCCCGGGCTAGGATCATGAGTTGCCTTTGACCATCAACGGTTGTGCAGTGGAGGTCGCAGGGCTTGCTGGAGATGTGAACATAGTCATCTGATGAGAGAAGGATAGACAGTGTTGCATAGCTCATCACACACAAGGCGTCACTGATTAGACATCACTGGAGAAAGACCCACAGTGATGGTGAGTGGGGTGTGTGCAGAAAAAGGGCTTCCACACTGTGGGCTCCCTGGGGAGGGGGGGTCAGGCTTTGGCCTCACTATCAAAGGTGTCCCTGAATGCAGAGCATCCCCTTTTCCCCACAGAAGCAAGTATCGACCATTCTCGGATAACAGACCTATCAAACCCTGATAGCCAAGAAGAACCTTCAGTGGACTTCTGAATATCAGTTGCATGCAGGGCCGGCTCACTCACTAGGCGAACTAGGCAATCGCCTAGAGCGGGACGGCCCTTAGGGGCACCAAACTGAACCCGGCCCCGTACTTCCTAAAATGCATTTATTTTTGAAAATTGGTGGGCGCACGGGGCGGGGGGAGACGCCAGAAGGGATCCTTGCCTAGGGTGCAAAATAAGCTGGGGCCGGCCCTGGTTGCATGGAACAAACGTCTGGGGAGGGGGAGGCTTTTGCTGGCTTTGGCAGCAAGCCCTGCATGCAGTTGGTTGCCTAACCCAGGGGGAAGAATGGACTCCATGGGTTTGTAGACCAATCCACATGGTCTGACCTTCGAACGTTATGGAATTACATGAAGAAATCCACCCAAGGGCCTCACTGGGATGGGGAGTAAACCTACTCCCCACAAGTGATGGGAAAAGTCCACCCACCCAGCTTTATTTTGGAATTTCCCCGAAAAGTCAGAAAGAAGGGGGTCCCCCCCCAACCCAATTCCAAATTCAGAAACCCCGTTTTGCTCCCATCGCAGGAACACAACAGGATCCAAAAATCTCCCTCAGCCTTACCCCTGGGACCCCAAATGTTCTCTCTCAAACTCCAAGCCCAGCTCCCCTTCCCCTTCTTTAAACTGAGGCGGCGCACTCAAAAGCCTCCAGGGACATTCCGCCTGCTGAAGCAGGAAGGAAGGAAGGAAGGAAGGAGGGAGGGAGGGAAGGAGGGAAGGAAGGAGGGAAGGAGGGAAGGAGGGAAGGAAGGAGGGAAGGAGGGAAGGAGGGAAGGTGGCAGTGGTATTGGGAAGGGCTCTTCATAAACTCAACCAGAGAAGAATTCTCCGGACTGTAATCCTCGCCTCAGGCTGAAGGGGGCATTATGCACAGGCAAACGTCATAATTTGGCAACATCACTTTCCCCTACACATTGCGACCCCAGTCACTCTAATTACAGAGGGTCACACTTACATGTATGTGAACAACTGAATGAAAGAAAAAGATGAAAAATGACACAAGCCTTTGGGGGAAAGTCCTTCTGCCAAAATTGCTAATTTTGACAGGCAAACTGACACAGCCCGGCCCTATTTAGTAATAACATCCACATACCCCTCCCAAAAAGCTGCTGTATCTTGCAAAACCCTCTTCTGGGTGAGGGAAAGACGGTGGGTGGCATCCCTGCTGACTCAGATCAAATTTCATAAGAAGAAGCAACACAGAGTACTATTCATTTCAAACTCTTTTTAAAAAAATTGGCTTTGTGTTGTCAAAACCACACAAGAAAGGCCTTCTTGTTTACCAGGATATAAAGGTTTCCATTGATACGTCCGTCCGTTATACACATGCGAGTTGAACGATGAGCATTGCTCTTCTCGGAAGCTCCTTCCGTTTGGAGGGCACTGCTGGAAACGAAGAAGAGACCAACAGCCAAATGAAAGAAAGGCGGGAGGGACTCCCAATGCATTCCGGCTACCCATTTCAGTCTTTCACATTAGCCTTCCTTCCAAAGAGCAAAACTCCAAATAATGGAGAACAGCGATCCTGAGAGAGTGACCGAGACCCCAGGGCAATCAGGCTGCGACACGGACGCCACAATTTCGTTGTGTGCCAGTGTGCAGCTGATGTCCAGGATCCAAAGAGCCCGGCGTGAATGTGCCCCTCCCACCCCTCAGAGGTAGGCTACCTCCCAGGAGGGCATGCCATGAGGAGGAAGAAGGAGGAAGGGCTGCTGGAAGGGAAACATAATCGCCCCCGCCTGCCCCCCTCCGCCATCCTGACTGTATCCAAAGTGCTTGGTATGGGCCTCTCCGGATCCTAGCAATTCGTTTCCATTTCTTTTTATTGGGTATTTGTTTCAACAAATATAAAACAACGACTGTTCAACTTTGACGCACATGCCCCAGTGGCAAACTGCTGGATTCCCCCTAATGCCTCTTCCTCCCACTCGCACAGCTCCTCCTTCCTATCTGAAATATTTCCTCTAATGACAAGAGGTCTCCAGCCGTCCTTTTTCTACAACACTTCCTGTTTCATTCATCTGCATGCCCAAAGGTCCCACCTCTCTTCTCAGGACTCCCGTTCCCCTCCCTCTCCGAATCTTCCGCCAGCAAAGCCAGCCCTGCCTTTGTGGTCCACTCTTATTTTAGTCGCAATAAAAACAACAACAAAAATATTCTTACTTGGACTTTGCACAGCTGGTATCTTTTGGATGTCCCGGTGCATGTTTTGTTAGCAAGCCCTGTCACTGCCTTCCTTCTGAACAGAGAGAGGAAGGGAAACATCATTTCAAACGGGGGGGGGGAGTGCACAACTGCACCAACATTCATTTTTTCACCATGGTTCCTGTTGAATAATAATGTATCAGCATTTCTATTTACAAATATTCCATTTAAAATATTTTAAGGAATGTATTGATTGGGGGGTGAGGGCATTCCCAACGACGTTGCCCTGACCAGGATGGCCCAGGCTAGCCGGATCGGGTCAGACCTCAGAAGCTCAGCTGGGCTGGCCCCGGCCAGTCCTGGGATGGGAAGCCACTGAGGAAGTCCAGGGCTGTGAGGCAGGGGCAGGCCATGGCAAACCACCTCTGAACGTCTCTTGCCTTGAAACCCCCTTGAGGGGGGGGGTCACCATAAGTTGGCTGTAACTTGGCAGCACTTTGCAAACAAAAACACCAGTCTGCAGTCTGCCCCACAGGGGCAGATATGCTGCTGGCCTGGATGCCCAGTCCACCCCCTCTTCTCCTCCACAAGGGTGTAGGCCTGGGGAGGAGGAGGAGGGGGGGGGAGGAGGAGGAGGAAGAAGAAGAGGAAGAGGAGGAAGAATAAGAGGAAGAGGAGGAAGAAGAAGAGGAAGAGGAAGAAGAGGAGGAGGAAGAGGAGGAAGAGAAGGAGGAGGAGGAGAAGGAGGAAGAGGAAGAGGAAGAGGAAGAAGAGGAAGAAGAGGAGGAAGAGGAAGAAGAGGAAGAAGAGAAAGAGGAAGAAGAGGAAGAAGAGGAAGAAGAGGAAGAAAAAGAGGAAGAAGAGGAAAAAGAGGAAGAGGAAGAAGAGGAGGAAGAAGAGGAAAAAGAGGAAGAGGAAGAAGAGGAGGAAGAGGAAGAAGAGGAAGAGGAAGAAGAGGAAGAAGAGGAAGAGGAAGAACAAGAGGAGGAAGAAGAGGAAGAAGAGGAAGAGGAAGAGGAAGAGGAAGAGGAGGAGGAGGAGGAAGAGGAAGAGGAAGAGGAAGAGGAAGAAGAAGAAGAAGAAGAAGAAGAAGAAGAAGAAGAAGAAGAAGAAGAAGAAGAAGAAGAAGAAGAAGAAGAAGAAGAAGAAGAAGAAGACTGGCTGAGCTAGTGGGGCTGCGCATGGGCCTTCCAGCAGATGGACTGGCTGGCACAATGCCCAAAAGACAATGGAAGAAGCAGCAAACAGGCCCAGGTGCCTTATCTGGGTCCCTCTAGCCCTGGGCCGTCCGCTCCAAGCAGCAGCAGTTTCTTTAGGTCTCAAACACCTGGAGAGCTACCCGCTCAGTGATAAAATAGCCGTGTCATCAGTCATAAGCAAACACATCTGACACACGCACGTTCCCCATCATGGAAAGCTCGCTCTCTGATCATAGCTCAATTTCAAGTGTTGCGTACTGATGAATGTCACGGCTGGAGGGGAGAGAAAATCTGCCACGAGGATGCCAGTCCAAGTGGCTCCTGGATGTGTGTGTGTGGGGGTGAACACAGAGCTGAAGGCAAGGCTGGGATGTGTAGGGTTGCTGACAGTTGGCCTCCAGACAGCCAGTATCAGTTCCCCTGAAGAAAATGGCTGTTTAGCAGGGTGGGCTCTCTGGCATTGTACTTGGCTGAGGCCCCTCCCCTCCCCAAGCCCCGCCCTCCCCAGCCCCGCCCTCCAAGCCCCAAGGTCCTTTCCAGCCCAGAGCTGGCCACCCTGAGGCTGTGCACTCTCCCCATAGTTCTCCACGTTCAGGCCGAGGTTACCTCTGCCGGAGGCAGTGTCTCTCCTGGGACTTGACTCCTCCCCCACACGTCCTGGTGCAGGCCGTCCATTTGGTCCACTCACCCCACCAGTAGGCAGTGACATCAACACCTTCTTCTAGGCTGTTGGAAGTCTGTACATTCTCCTTGTCAAGGGAATCCCAAGGAGAAAAGGAAAGGCAGAGTTGGATGGCCATTATAGAAAACACAGGAAGATCCGTGCAGGGCAATCAGCTGGTCACCACACCTTAAAAAGGATATTATAGCTTTGGAAAAAGTGCAGAAAAGGGCGACTCGAATGATAAAGGGGTTGGAACACTTTCCCTAGGAGGAAAGGTTAAGGCGCTTAGGGCTCTTTAGCTTGGAGAAACGACGACTGAGGGGTGACATGATTGAGGTTTATAAGATTATGCATGGGAAAGAGCAGGTAGAGAAAGAGGTACTTTTCTCCCTTTCTCACAAGACAAGAACTTGTGGGCATGAAACTGCAGAGCGGTCGGGTTAGAACGGATAAAAGGAAGTACTTCTTCACCCAAAGAGTGATTAACACATGGAATTCACTGCCACATGAAGTGGTGGCGGCTACAAGCATGGACGGCTTCAAAAGGGAATTAGATAAGCATATGGAGCAGAGGACCATCAGTGGCTATTAGCCACAAGGTATAGATAGGGACTCTGGGGCAAGTGATTCTCTGTCATCTTGGTGCTTGGGGGGGGGGTCAACAGTGGGAGGGCTTCTAATGTCCTGGCCCCACTGCTGGACCTCCTGATGGCACTGGTATTTCTGGCCACTGTGTGATACAGAGTGTTGGACTGGATGGGCCTTTGGCCTGATCCAACATTGGCATCTCTTATGTTCTTATGTTCCCACTTGGATTCATCTAGGTCTAAAATAGGCCGCTTTGGTTCCAGGTCAAGACAATGATTTATTGACTTACTTCCCCAGTGGGGACCCAAAGCAGTTTACATAGTTTTGCTTCCCTCTAATTGATCCTCGCAACCAGCGGAGGGTGTGTGACCGGCCCAAGATCACCCAGCCAGCTTCCAGGGCACAGTGACAAGTCAAACCAGGACTCCCAGATCCTAGCTCCGCACGCCAACTGCTCTTCTGCATGGGCCTCAGAGGGGGAGGTAACTCAGGGTCTCCAGCCCTCCTACCTGTTTCAAGGGCATCTGCCTTTACCAACTTGTTTTATGCCCTGTAATCCACTTTCTGGATTGTTTAGAGCCTACCCTTGCCCGAGTTCACTGTTGGTAGCAGCAGTGTTCATTAATTCTGCAATCCTGGTCCCATTGCATCGTCCGCTGGTTGCCTTATGCTGTCTGACTGCACAGCTTTATATCCTGTAATCTGCCTTGAGTCTCAGTGAGAAAGGCGGACTATAAATAAAGGATATAAAAATAAACAGGAAAAAAACAAAAACCTAAGCCAACGGCTACCATAACTTCCTGTGGCTGTGAATGCTACATGTTATTATACACTGCATGATTTTTTTTTTGGCTTTTGTCTGCCCTGAAACTATTGCCAATAAATTCACTGCATTTTGGTGCCCCTGGTTCTAATATTCTGGGTCATCTTTCTGCACTTTATTTAACTTGTTTATTTAAAAGATTTAGAGACCCACCAATCTCCCAGACCTGTTAACAAATACTCCATCTCATGCATACTTTTCTAAAACTCCCCCTTGTTCATTCTTAGCCACACATTTTCTAAACTGAAAAGTTTTTCTTCTCCTCCTCCCCTCAGTTTGGGGATCGGCCTTCAGCTCAGATGAAAAATGGGAGGATGAGAAGAAGAGATTAGATTTATACCCCACCCTTCACTCGGAGTTTCAGAGCAGTTTACAATCTCCTTCCCTTCCTCTCCCCACAATGGACACCCTGCGAGGTGGGTGGGGCCAAGAGAGCTCTTTTGAGGACTGCTCTTGAGAGAACAGCTCTGGAAGAACTTGTGACTGACCCAAGGTCACCCAGCTGGCTTCATGTGGAAGAGTGGGGAATCAAAGCCGGCTCTCCAGATTAGAGTCCGCCACTCTTAAGCACTACACCAAACTGGAGAAGTTAAACATATCAAGGCACGGTTTGGATTTTTAGGGCAGGGAAATGGAGGGCCTTGTGTGTCCATGACGAAGTGGAGGAACCTTCCCTTCCTCCTGGGGGGATGGTGGCCCCCCTCTGGAGAGCCCAGCTTGGCAGGTAAGACTGGAGCTGTCCTTTCAGCACCGGGGCTTGATCTGTAGTCTGTGGCTTATTGCACAGGACAAGCTTCAGCCTGCTTTGACATGACCTGCCCTTGGACTGAGATGAACCCACCCAGAGATGTTCCGGCCACAGGGTCTTGGAAGCGCCCTGCCCACGAGAGCCACCAGAGGAGAGGCTGTGCTCCTTCCGAGAAGGGACCCCCCATGGTGGCACCCGTGGGCACCATGGCTCCCGCTGACTCATTTCCCAGTGCCCGCCAGGGGTTTTTAGAAAGTGGGCAAGGCCACGTGGGGCTTTTGCTCAGCAAGGCTTCTGATTGGCTGTACAGACTTTTTAAAAGATTGGCTTTGGCCACAGTGGCCACCACAGGTAGGACACAGACCTTTGCTGTGTGACTGAAGGGAAGCTGCACCCTCCGCTTTGTGGCTGGCCCCGCCTCCTGCAGCAGCTGTTTTGTGGCTGCGCCCACCACGCTGTGTCAGAATTCCAAAGCTGCCTGCAGCAGGCTCAGAAGGGTTGTGGACCCCTCGCCTAGCTTATTGCTAAGGACAATGTCACACGGAAACCCCCCCCCCATGCATCAAAACCCCTTGTCTGCACAACTGCAAAAGGAGCAGGAGCCCAGGTGGTGAAAGGCTGGAGATCCCCCAAAGATGCAAGGGAACGCTTTCTCCTGATTGCGGCATTTGTGGCCCAAGACACTTCTGGGAAAAGAGAAGAGACATCCCTGGGCATTTGCTGGCCAAGCCCGAGGCCCACCAAAGCCAACCAATCATTTGATTTCTTCACTTATGTTCCACTTTTCTCCCCAGTGGGGACTCACAAGTGTCTACAGCATTTTCCTTTCCTCCATCTTATCCTCACAACAGCCCTGGGAGGTAGGTCAGGCTGAGAGTCTGTGACTGGCCGGCTTCCCAGGCAGAGGGGGGGATTCCCAACGGAGGCTCGAAGATCCTGGCCCAACACTCCGTCTGCTGCCCCACGAGCAGAAGGGACGGCTGAGTCAGAGGTAAGCCGCAAGCACTCGTCGTACAGCTCAGTGGCACCAGCAACCACTTGGGGTCAAGTAGTTCGAATGAGGCAAACTACTTTTGTGAGCCTTTATTTGTAGTCCGCCTTTCTCGCTGAGCTCACGGGATATCAAGCAGTGCAGCCAGACAGGAGAAGGCGGCAGGGCAGGGACTACAGAGGTCAAGAACGCTGCAGACCACCAACCCTCTAAGGCAGAGGAGTGTTGTAGGCAGTTCAGAAAGTGGATCACAAAGTAAAGATAATGCAACAGAAGGAAGTGCTATCTGTAGTGCTCATTGCAGCAGACTAGCTGTGGAAGTGATAATGACTTTCCTCCACGGGGAGGGGGGGAGTGTTGCTTAAATATTTACTATCATGTAGAAATGGTCTGAGAACACTAGGCAAGAAGAGAGACCAAATCAGACCCAGAACAGAACCAACAGAAGAAGAAGAAGAGAAGAGATTGGATTTATACCCCGCCCTTCACTACCCAAGGGAGTCTCAGAGCGGCTTACAAACTCCTTCCCCTTCCCCTCCCCACAGCAGACACCCTGTGAGGCAGGTGGGGCTGAGAGAGCTTTGACAGAAACGGCTCTTTTTTCAAGGACAGCTCTTGTCAGAACTATGGCTTGCCCAAGGTCATCCAGCAGGTGCAAGTGGAGGAGTGGGGAATCAAACCCTGTTCTCCCAGATTAGAGTCTGCATACTTAACCACTACACCAAACTGGCTCTCATAACTATAGAAGCTGTAGTGACCCACCCCACTCTCTCCCTGCCATTCCGGCAGCTGGTTGCCAGCAGCAGGCCCCCCTTCTCTGGCCTGGTATCTATTTAACAAAATGTACACCCCCTCCTTTCTGCCCTCACTAGGGCCACCAAGGCAGCTAACAAATTGAAAACATCCATGACAAAATCGAATCTTGAAAGCCATCAAAACCAACAGAAACACATCATGAGAACAATTGAAGCCAGAGCTAAAATTCACATAAAACAACACTTAAAACAATAGGCAGGGAGGGGCCATTGAGGGAACGCCAGAAGAAACAAAACAAGGCTTCACCCTCTGGCAGAAGATGGCGGCAGGAAGGGACAGGCGTGTCTCATTCAGGAGAGGAGAGCTCGAGAGTTGTGGTGCCACGGCCAAGAAGACCCTCCCCTTAGTTGCCACCTGCCTATCCTCGCAACGTGGAGACACCCAAAGCAGGGCCTCGGAAGGTGACCACAGTGGCCAGGTGGGTTCAGAAGGGAGTCAGCAGTCCTTTACCATCCCAAGCTATGCAGGCCTTCAAAGGTCAAGAGCAATGCTCCCTCTAAGCTGTGGAGTCCTGTGAGCAAAAATTCTACCTTCGGAGCTACTGAGTTTGGCTACTGCATAAATTCGTTTGCTCTGGAGCCATCCTTCCTGAGCTAAGACAAAAGTGTGTGAGCCGGAGGCTAAAAAACTGTGAGCTCGCTCACACTAACTCAGCTTAGAGGGAACACTGGAAGACCAGGACCTTGGACTGTGTCCAGATTCAGACTGGGAGTCGGTGTAGACAGGCCAAGACTGGAGTGATGTGGTCTTTACAGCCCACTCCAGTCAACATCCTGGCTGCAAGCATTCTGCACCACGTGAAGTTATTTCATTTATAACCCATCTTTCTCCCCAATGGAGGCCCAAAGAAGTTTACATCATTCCCTTCTCCTCCATTTTGGCCTCACAACAACCCTGTGAGGTAGGTTAGACTGGAAGAGATCAGCTGGCCCAAAGTCACCCAGAAGGCATGTGTGGCAGAGTGGGGATTTGAACCAGGGTCTCTCAGAACTAGTCTGACACCACACTAGCTGACTACTTACAGGCAGAGGTCATTTCAGGGGGGAACGCGGGGGAACGCAGTTCCCCCGGGTGAGGTGCAGGGGGGCGGGGCACATGACGAAGCCCCGCCCCTGCTTC